ATACTTTACTCGTAAAGTAATCATGCACTCGACATAAAAATCCCGGTAAACACATATGTTCCGGACTAGTAACGCTAGTTTACTATAATAGTTACAGGCTAGTATAATATTTAACACAACAAATTTATTCGTTACAGCTTTTAATATTGCAATAGGCAATATTTAAGCGTAGCAAACCGAGTTAATACAGGATAAATAAACTACAACCATACACCATACACCAACCATACTCCTTTTCACCACACTACGATGTTTTTAGCCGTTTTACAAACGTTTATGGGAGGCCAAAAGCTACGTTTCGCTGTCCATAATGGTGCTGTCATCGTCATTTGGGGACCGAGTAGGTGTTTTCATCCCTAGGATCGAAAACCGGCCCTTATTATATAAATTATATAATTATTTATGATGTTTATAAATGAACCAGAAAAGTTGAATATCGATGAATAATTCGGATCTTTACTCATCAAATTGGGTTATGAAACTAGATTCAAACATGTATTTCCATCAATAGTAAAATTAAAATACGACTTGTCTGGTGAATTTTAATTCGATGTATTTTATACAATAAAAATAATTTCGAGCCGGCGAAACCTCATTTTTGGCGCTAGGTACGAAATATACTATTTTTCTGCTCTACTGCCTCTTGCTCTTCACCGCAAGAATATAGAAGAATATAGACCGCAAAGAAAAAGAATTTAGCATCGCACTGCATGTACTGTGAAATAAAATCAAGAACTAACTTAAACTCATTTAATCATAGAACAAAATATAACATTATTTGTTTACATTTTTATAATAAACATAAAACCAAATTATCAGCTGATTCCAATATATTACACTTTTCCCTCCTCATCGTCTACCGCACCTTCTCTTCTTCGCAGTTGATCCGAATGTTTTCTTTTTATCACTCCACCACACATGACTTCATAAGAGTATAAGCCATTGCGTTTGACTATTGTTCCTGCTATCCAACCAGGGCTATTCTCTTTTTTCATCCATACTTCTTCCCCTTCACTGAATGCTCTTAAGGTTTTCTTTTGAGTTGGGTTTTGTTGTTCCTTCCAAATTTTCAGATCTAATTGTTGTCTAAGGTTTGGTCTCATGTTGTCCAACATGGTTGGCATTCTTCGACCAAGAAACAACTCAGCAGGGGCTCGTCCTGTTGTTTTTTGTGGGGCATTTCTGTAACTGAACAACACATTTTGCAATGCCAATGAAGAATCATTAATTTCTTGTTTTGTTGTTCTGTAACGCCTTTTCAAAGTCCCTATTAGACGTTCAACTAAGCCGTTACTTCTAGGATGATAAGGAGTAGTTCTTATATGTCGAATTGAATGTCTCTTGAAAAATGCTTCCATTTCAGTAGAGACAAACTGTGGCCCGTTGTCAGTTACTACTTGTGATGGTATCCCATACCTGCTCATCCACGATCTTAATCTTTGAATTATGGCAGTTGAAGTCGTTGTTCTTAAACATTCAACTTCTGCCCACTTAGATAGCGCGTCAATCCCTACTAACCAGATTACTCCATCAACTGGTCCAGCTAAATCCAAATGAACTCTTTCCCACACTTTTTCAGGAATGTTCCATGGATAGACTGGGACTTCTTCAATGTTTCCTCTGTTTTCTTGACATGCTTCACAAGTCTTAACATGCATTTCAACGTCTTTGTCAATGTCAGGCCACCATACATAGTATCTCGTAATTGATCTCATAGCTGAAATTCCAGGATGGCCACAGTGCAAAATTCTCAAGATTTTTTTTCTCATATTTGTTGGCACAACAACTCTACCAAACCACATCAAAACACCATCTTCAACTGATAATTCTTCTTTCCTTTGTTTATATGTTTTAATGTTATCTGGTACCTTCTCTGGCCATGCATTTAGCACATAACTTTGTACTAATTTTATCTCCTTGTCCAAACTGCTGTTATGTTTGAGTTCCTTATAGGACACCAATGTCTCAACTTTATCCATGTTTAAAAACTTTATGTCTCTTACATCGGTAGCTTCTTCTCTGATTCTGATGGGAAGACGGGATAGTGCATCAGCACAAACGTTTTCATCTCCTTTCCTGTACTTGATTTGAAAATTGTACTGATTCAGTTCGAGGGCCCATCTCACCAACCTATTGTTCATTACCTTTGGAAGATTCCGGTTTTCTCCAAATATTCTTTGAAGGGGTTTATGATCGGTGACAAGTGTGAAGCTTCGTCCGTATACATATTGGTGAAACTTTCTTACAGCAAATAAAATTGCAAGTGCTTCTCGATCAATATTCGAGTATCTTTTCTCAGCATCTGAAAGAGTTCTGCTAGCATACGCTATTGGTTTTTCCAGACCATCTTCACACTTGTGCATTAGGACACTCCCAAGACCGTCTTCTGACGCATCACACACCAACACTAGAGGTTTGGATTCATCATATGGAACAACTGTGTCTTCTTCCGAAAGAATCATTTTGACCTTTGTAAATACTTCATCTTCTTTCTCTGTCCAGATCCATTTGGATCTGTTGCTGGTATTTCGATGTAACCTTGAGCACAGCGCATGCAACCTAGGGATAAACCTTTCATAATAATTTATGGATCCTAAAAAAGACCTAAGCTGTTTGACATTTGTAGGTTTAGGTGCCTTTTGTATTGCTTCAATCTTCTCTTTTGTCGGATGGATACCCTGTTCATCGATAATGTGTCCAAGATAGGTGACTGAATTCTGCATGAATCTACATTTTTCTTTCTTCGCTTTTAGCCCTGCTTCACCCATTCGTTTTAATACTTCCTTTAAGTTCATGAGATGTTCTTCTTTGTTTCGGCCCGTAATGATTACATCATCTAGAAGTACCCCCACTTGTGGTATGCCTTCAAGGAGCTTCTCCATGTATTCCTGAAAGATACCTGGGCTGGAGGTTATACCAAATGGCAGTCTCTTGTATCTATAGTATCCAACGTGTGTGGATATTATCAGATATTTTCTGTCTTCCTCCGATACTTCCATTTGGAGATATGCATCTCTCAAGTCGACAACTGAATACTGCTTCCCTCGAGATACTTTATTCGTCAGTTCCTCAAAAGTTGGCAAAAGTGTTGTATGGGTAATGATGTTTGGGTTTAAGGTTACCCGAAAATCTCCACATATTCTAATTGTGCCATTTTCCTTCTCAACATTTACTGTTGGTGTTGCCCATTCGATAGGAGTTTTGGAAGGGTCTACCTTTTCTATAACACCGTCACTTACCAGTCTGTTTAGTTCTTGCTCAACTCTACTTCTTAGTGGAAAAGGCACTCTGCGAGCAGGAAAACACCTAGGCTCTGAGTCACTCTTAACATGTATCTTCGCCTGATAGCCTTTAATTGTTCCCAATTCTTTCTTAAATACATCACTAAACTCTGAAATAACTTGGTTAATTTCCTCTTCGGTTACTATAGACGCATTTTCATCCTTATGGGTGTTATCCAACTTACGAATCGTAACACTAGGTGGTAATTTCATGTTGAAGGCAAGCATCCATGGTAATCCAAATAAAGGAGATTCGTTTCCATTTACCACAGCAGCCTTAAGTTTCCTAATCCGTCCATCAACTTTAACGTTAACTTCACACTCTCCTAAAACATCCAGGGTATTGTTTCCATAAGCGACAAATTTTGTTTTACATGCCCTCAAATTTGGTGATCCAATTTGTTTCCACAGGTGTGCATCAATCATCGATGCTCTAGCTCCTGAATCAAACTCCATGGTTGTTGGTACTTCATTTAGGGTAACATTAATTTGTGCTCTTGGGATCTTCCTATTAGGTTTAAGTTCAGAAATTCCTAACTGTACCTCTTCTTCCTCTGATGTTATGTCTGTGTCGTTGATTTGGTTCAAATAGGCCTTTTTTGAACGACAATGTCGCGGAAAATGACCCATCTTTCCACAGAAGTGACATTGTTTTGTCTTTTTGGTTCCACATTGCCGTGAGAAATGACCTTGCATTCCACATGAAAAACACTTAGACTTTTGAGCTGGACAAAATTCTCCATTGTGTACTAGTCCACACCGATTACAATCTTCTGAAGAATGCCTGTATGTTTCTTTTGCCAAAGATCTATTTTTCTTATCATAGTTATGTACCTTGTTAATTACAGGCATAGCTTCTTCTAAAATATTCATTTCCCGCTTAGCTCTATCCATCGCTTCAGCTAAATCTACCAGCTCATTTAAAGTTAAACGTGAACCATCTTTATTTATGCCTTCTGGCCACCTTTGCCTGATTTCAACTTCAAACTGTGGAAAGTTAACGCCACCAGCAAATCTATCCCTTACTCTTTCCTCAAAATACCTGTCGTATTTACAGTAGGAGGCTAACTCTTTTAAACGTAAGACGAAATTTGAAAAACTCTCATAATTTCCTCTCACACATTTTTCAAAGTCTAGTCTCGCTGCAAAGATTGTTTTACTAGGTTTATAAACACACCGAAATGTATCAAGCAGTTCAGTCATTGGTATGTCATAAATTTTCCTAGGTAAAACAAAGTTAGATACCTTTTTGAGGGGTACAGGTCCAACATATGCTAGAAGAAGATCCCTTCTGGCCTCCTCAGTTTCATCACTGTCATCACCCAATCCCTTTACCTTGCACATCAATTGGAAGTGAGCTTCATAATCCTCCCAGTTCAATTTTTCATCATAGGGTTCTATTGAAAACTTTTCCATTCTCTTTCGCACCTCTTCTTTATTGTTACAACCAATATCTTCACATCTTTGGGTTCGTTTTTTACTCATCGTCGCCAGTGAAATAAAATCAAGAACTAACTTAAACTCATTTAATCATAGAACAAAATATAACATTATTTGTTTACATTTTTATAATAAACATAAAACCAAATTATCAGCTGATTCCAATATATTACATACTGAAAACAGTGCTTACGACAAATTGTGGTCGATTCTATCATTTTTTTTACATAAAGTTATTGTAACTTTAGGGATCAACCACTTTAAAACTCAAAATCATACCTGTGGTGATGTGTGGCGTTTAGCTCGGCAGGATTGTAGTCCGGGGACTTGTTAGCGTAGGAACGTGGACTGCCAGGCATCAGGTATTCTGAGAACAAAAGAAAATTAAAGAGTTTTAACAAATGTTATGTTTTCAATTGTTAACAAAATTGTTCTGTGTAGAAATTTGTAGTTCTACGGTCTGATAACTAGTATTTTCTGACAGTTCTATTCAATAATACAGAAATCATTTATAAACTTCGTGAATAAATTTTATAACATAGTTTTTTAGTTAGAGGATAAGACAAAATCAAGTTGTATAACGAAATCTAAATAGATCACTGAAGCGTAACAATTGATCGAACAACGTAAAAAAGTGTATAATCACATGATTATATGTGGCCCCACTGGCCCAGATATAAAGCGAATTTATTCAATGTCAATATTTATGAATACATTTATCATAGTATTTTATTTTAGTTTTTCCCATACGTATGAACCATTGTTTTGTCTTTTCAAATTTTTGATTATACTTTGACAGTAGATAGCGGCTTTAATGACACAATAGTTTGCAATATTTTTTTCTGGCTACATATATTAGTGTACAAGAAGTGGGGAATATTTGACAGCAGTGTTTACTGGGGATTTTAACATGGTATTGACATCTATATACCATTAATACCATAAGTGATTTTTTTTTTATAACAATTTAGACAGTGTTACAGCTCACAGGATGATGGGACAGGGTTCAAATTAAAGGTCTTGGTCCTAGGGGGTTGGGAAAAATATTAGATTTTGTACAAATTACCAGAAAATGAGAAATAACAAAAAATATATTCAAATGCATTGGGATTGAAAACGTGTGCTTTGTTTTCATTAAACATGTGGATTACAAAGTATTAGTATTTCATAGCACTTTAAATGGTCGAGAATATGTATGGACCCACTTTTTCTGTTTTGGACGTTACTTTTCACTACATTAAAAAGACTAACAATTTTCTTAATTAAAACAGAAAATTGGATATTACTTTATTACAATAAACAAAACTCAAAAAAGTTTTTAGGTAATGTCAGTAAACATTACTTTCAAATATTAAACATTCTTTTTCCGTAGGAAACAATGAAATGATGAGTTTTCGCAGGTGATAAACATGTAACGAAAAAATGTCGTTTCACAGTAGTGTAGCAAATAATGTATTATTATATTTCTTCTACTTTACATTTTGTTCATAGAGTACGTAAAATAGTATATACTAGTCCTGAAAATAAGTGTTTGCCGGACGAGAGTGGTCGTTCCCGTACGAGACGAAGTCGAGTCCCATATGGTATGTCGATTACCACATGAGTCCGGTAAACATATTTTGGACGAGTGACGTACGATAGTTTACGCCATACTACTTAATCTGTACAAATCCTTATATTACCACCAACTAAAGGACTAAATATCACTAGTCATAACCTCTAAGAGAGGTTATGTTTTTGTTTATAACCACTCATTGCCACCTAAATACTGTATAATCAGCTGATTGGTGTCCGGTAAAACTCATTACAGTACAGTAGTACGCAATGAAACCATATTTGAATAAGCTGGCGGCAAACAGCTGTTTTATGGACTAAATACTTGCGTGGGAAGTTCGTCAAAATGATGTAGTGTGACGTAAAGTTTATTTACTAATCATCAAATAATTTATATGAATTCTGCTTTCAAAGAAGCGATCAAAAAATGATTAACTTACAATTTCAGAGCTGCTGCGTGAAAGATAATTTGATTCTTAGTTTGTTTCAATATAACAATAATTTGTTTACATTTGAGCTTTTATGTACTTACGTCCCTACATACCACTAGTGTTTATTATAATTGTAACGTATCTATAATCAAAGCTGATACGAAGTAATGACCAATTAGAACCATTCTTTTAGTATAATAAAACAGGAACATAAACCTAACATGTATCATAAACCGTTTGACTTTGATGGTAAACAAGTATTAAAACCCGAATGAATCAAGCACAACTGAAGTAGGCTACGTTACTTGAAGAGTTGTATAAAAACCTCTTTACAAAGGTGATTCGTTGTTTCACAATTTTATAACTGGATGACGAGGGAAATACCAACGTTGTAAAGAGGGGAAGCGGAGTGATTAGCATTTTGTGACATAATACTCTTAAAACGGTAAAGTTAGAGTTTCAAGTGCGGCGACGTGCCGTGATTTAAAATCTCCTCAAATGTGTGTGGTACAGTTTAGACCCCTGTGATGTTGACACTCCCTTCCATTATCTTTGTATCTTGGAGGTTCAAGAGTGTCAATACACGGCACGCATCCAGACCCCCGTGTTGCGTGTCGAGTGTTACAGTGTGGTGATGTGAAAACTTACTTGAGGGGGTTTTCGCTATATAAACGGTGGTGTTTTATAAATCATAGTTGATACTCAGTTGGACTAGGACACTACTCGTAAAGGGTTTCAAAATCATTCCACGATGCCACTGTTTTATTAGTAATGCAGCCTGGACGACTTGGGCCCCTAATTCTTCTAGACAATAAGGGTTTACTGCGACTGATAAAATTACTTAGGAAAATATCAATTATTTCTGCTATCATAGAATCAGAACCGTTTTTACAAGCACGCAATAAAATTGTTACATGCTTATTTAAAACCTACTAATTATTTGAGTAACCCATCGGTTATAGTGCTAGCCTTAAATCCAAAGGATACTTCGATTCGGAGTACCCAGATTCCATTTTTCATTAAACCATCTATTATTAATGGAGCTATCAAACAAAAGGTAGGCGCTAGGAAGTAAAAATGCCAGAGTTGGCCCATTCTCTTACATAAAACTTGGGAAAATGTCAATCTTTAAAAAAAAAGGAAGTAACAGAGTCTTTGAAGATAAATATTGATTTATAAATATAAAGAAATTTTCAGATACAACTAAATAAAGAAACAATGTAAATAATGAGAATGAATGAAGAATGAAAAATGAGTATCCATGTATACATTTTTTGTACGTTTGATATAAATACCCCCGCCGCAGCAAACCTGACGCCTAAGCGAATTTCCATTTGGCTGAATTGATTTTCAATTGATCTATTTAAATAACATTAGGTTTAACGAGTACCTAGGTTTGCTGCTACAAGGAAACTAATAAAGTGAGTGTTTTAAGTAAAATAATTATTGCTTAGTATAAAATGAATATATTTGCCAAGTTTGATCAAAAGATATCCATAAACAAGCAAACTACAACATTTTACAATATTCTCCATAAGAATAACATGGGAATTTTAAATTTACCATTTTTTTAGTTTTCTCCGTAACCAATAACCGTACAAAAACACTTTGATATACTGAATTGTTTGTTTTTTTAAGCTCTTTAAGAAGGTTTAGAGAAAAATTGGGAAATTTTGTGTTTTGAGGGTCAAAAGTGAGAAAAACCAATTTTTACCCCATAAAACCCCCCATAAAACCCTGTTCCCATGGTCCGATCATGCTGGATCGCGAACTCATTCAAGTTTATCCCGCCTTACACCTTCAAACCAAATTTCATCAAAATCGGATAAAAATTACTCAAGTTATCGTGTTCACGGACACACACATATATATATATATATATATATATATATATATATATATATATATATATATATATACATATATAAAAATTTGAACGAGTGGTGTTTTTGGCCTCTGGGGATATCAAAATGAAAAAGTAAATCGGTCCCGGGCCTAAGTCTTACCATGAGACCTACGGTAATAGCTACTTCCCTATAGGGAAATTCGCTAAAATTAATCAAGAGTGTAATGCCACATATAGTTTAAAACATTTATTCGTTACAATTGAATTATATAATGCGTCAATACACACGAAGTGCTTGATACATGGCTTTGTTAAAAATTACAAAGCTTGCCAAGACTTGTTGCCAATATCAATATCAATTTGTCAGGCCAATTGACATTAACTCAGACACAAACACGAACTCTTCGTGTCTGGTTATTTTCAATGTGTCACAAGGATTTGAGACATTTACTTTAGCTTGTTGATTACATTTAGGACTATTTCCAAAGTAAATGTAACTTGCATTTGTTTTATTATATATTAGGTATAATCTACGAACTATAATGATTGTCGTGAACATTTCTTTATTGACTAGCATGTGCAGACAACCTAGGCTTGTCTGAAATACATAGTCATTATTTATATATGATGATGAATTTGTGACTCATCCCTGGAATATTTTCTTTATACTTTTAATATGTGATATAAATAATATTTACCTACGACCGTTTTTTAAAGTAGCCGTTTCAGTACAGTTCTTAGAATTGAAAAGTATCTCATAACAGCATTGTTTACATTCATAACAGCATAGTTTTCTCATAACAACACGGGTAACTGACCAATGAGGTTCAAGGATGGAGCGAGGAGAAGCAAAATTGTAATGATTCGAAATTCAACTAATCAGCTGTTCCGGCCAATTTAATTGTTGATTGGTGCAATTAGTATTTGATACAATGTTCGTTGCACCAATGTCAGTGGCAATTAGAGTTTATAAACAAAAACATAACCTCTCTTAGAAGTTATGAGTAGTGATTTTTAGTAATTTAAACCCCGTCGTAGGTAAAGTAGTGTACGCAACTCGCGTAAATAATGTTAACGACACTCGTAGAAGTTCTTAAGGCACTCGCCAAGGCTCGTACCTTAAATTTTCTACTCGTGTCGTTAACACTATCTTTACGCAATCGTTGCGTAAACTACTATTTTAGTTTTGAAAATAAAGACGTTATGTATTTCAGGGACAATAGAATGACTATGTATTTCAGACAAACCAAGATACAACGAATGTACTGATGTATTTGTAATGCTTGTTTTCTTAAACGTGTGAGGATTTACACAGAGCACATGGATAGTTTAAATTAGAAATGCTCTGTATCCGATGTCACTAACATGCTCTGAAACCAGCCTGGTCACCACTTTTGGCACATATTTTTGCAGCTGTTCAGTCCGAACTACTCAACGAAAACCAAAATTCGAGGTTTGAAGTGCAGCCACGTGCAGAGTTTAACAAAAGCTCCTCAACAGTTTGGCCAAAGTGAGGGGCCTAACGACTCTTTACAC